TACATGGATTAGGGGGGTTTATTGGTTGCTGCTTACGATCATTTCATATACTTGTGTTTGATTGCTGTAGATTTGTGAGGAGGTGGGAAAGAGAGGAGAGTGAAAGTGTAGCCGCTTTCATACAGAGATCAATGTGGAACAAATATCCGCATATATGTCGCATTCACTTATTCGTACAGATCAGAAGCAACCATGTGTGCTTTCACATAGCGGTCCGGCTTTACCAGCACCAGTGGCATGTAAAAAGACCACGGCTTTTCACACAGACATCGTTTCGTCTCTCTGTCTCACCCCTGTCACCAACTTTACCGGCAAATCAGCTCTGTACCTTTCATACAGTGCAGCGAGCCGGCACAATACCCCCGTGAAAGAAGGCAGCGTGAAAGCTGCTAGTGTAACGAGCTAACAAAACAAAAGTTAAGTTGTACTTGGAGTGTTTTTAGCTTTTAGCTGGCTAGCCTGTTATGTCTTTTAGTACATTTAATAGAAATAATATAATTTTGCTTCAATTTTCACTGTTCTTTGAGTTAGTATTTGACATAATACCTTTTTATCTCAATTAAAAGAACGGAAACAATTTTTTTTATTTTAGCCGGTAATAAATATGTTTGGCTGGTGGATCTACTAGTCACCTTGGCAGGTGAGCCAAAAAGTTAATTTCCACCCATGCTGGCAACAGCTCGATTATAGTCCAGCCTTTTCTTCCATTACCATGTTGCATCATGTCGTAACTCACGTCATAATGCTCACCTAGCGGCCAGTCCGGCACGCCCTCAAAGACACCGGTGGAAAAACACTCTGAGCTGCACCACACAGTGACAAGAGATCCACCTGCTGCCTCTCCTCTCCCTTCCAAACACTAGCTATGCTCCAGGCAGTCAATAGACATAAAGTTGTTACTGTGATGTAGAGACAGAGCTCAGTTGGATGGATAAAAGATACATTTGTTACAATTTAATAACACACCACTCAAAAACTCTTGCTCCAGTCTATGTTACTAAGGAACATATACAGCTGAACTGAAGCCTTTCAGGTTAGGCAGTTGTCCCGCCCTTCCACTAGAAAGCCAATCATCTGCTTTTAACAGCAGAGCCAGGAAACATATAAAGCCAATCGTGATGTTTGGTCTGCTTCGCATGCGTCACTACAACATAGAAGTGTAACCTGTGGGGAAAAATTCTTTAAACCTTCTTTTGGAGTAAAGTCTTAACTGACATTTCAGGTGATCATTTTTAGTTTCACTCAGAAATATGCACTTCACATAATCTGGCTAAAGTGGGGTTTCCCACCTGTCTCATCATCTGACCGGTCCTGCTTCTGTTTCTTTTGTGGCTTTATTATCACATCTCCGATATTAATGTCATTTTAGAGGACAGTGAATTGTTATCATAGGACTAATTGACAGAATTACAAAATTGTGGGATTGTGAACAGAAATAATATTCTTTTAAGTGAAGATCATGGCGCTATAACAGTACAACAAACACTGTGAATTCATTGCCAATATCAACTCTAAAAGCTTGGTGATCTCTGTCAAGGTTTACATTTGTGACCCTTCCTCGAGTCTCCTCGTCAGCATCTCGTTTACACTTTGCCTCGTTTGAATAACTATTTTAAAAGTCCTGTGATATTACAGCAAACTACAGCACATTATATGATCGTAAACTCATTGAAATGCTCCTATGTCTTTCTCTCTCCTTCCTCATCCTCCAGTTCTTCCTCCCTGAAGGTGTAAACTGACCTGCGCTCATTTCACAAGCTTCTGTGTATGAGCTCCATCTCTTGCTGCCGGACAGTAACTCATCTCCCCTTGAAACTGGATGACAAATTGCCTCCCTGCAGGCCAACAAATCAGTGTGGTTGTTTGAACGCAGCCATTAGCCTCATTAATTTGTCTATATTCTTCTTCAGAGACTAAGATTGAAGTCATCTTGGAAACCACTGGATGCTTGGAACTCATGGGCCTAAACGCCAAAGAAAACCTTCAATTTTCAGACTTGCACAATTGAGTTTTAAGAGAGCGATAATTTCCTCCCATGTTGCACCTCACTCCAGCCCTGCCAGCTGACCGCCTCGCCGAAAGAAAATTTGACGACTTAGCAAGATTGTGCCTCTCAAAAAATGCACTGACACGGTGAGGAGGGTGCGCCTGGCGCTCACAGAGGTAAAGTCGGGGAGGGGAGGAATGTTGGCCGCAGATGAAAGCAGGAGTGCAGGCTGGGATGTGTAATAACTCTCCACACATCAGCCTGTTGGTATAATAAGCCGGATCCCAGAGGCAGGAGAAGAGAAACGAGGATGAAACATGCCAAAACATCTCTCACTCTGCCCTGTGTGTGTGTGTGTGTGTGTGTGTGTGTGTGTGTGTGTGTGTGTGTGTGTGTGTGTGTGTGTGCTCTCCTCCTCCTCCTTTCTGTCTTTCTCTCTTTGTCTGCAATATGTTCATATTGATATTTGTTTTTCCAAATGGCATCACATAAGTGATGCTGTCAAAGCTACATAACGTGATGTTGATGGGATTAGTTGACGTTCATTTATTCATTCATTCTTCACATACAGCTCAATTAAATATATTAGCAGAAATCAGCATTTAAAATCTTTAAAATCATGTGCCTTTTCGTGTGTGTGTGTGTGTGTGTGTGTGTGTGAGCCTTCAAAGAGTTGTGTCAAAAGCGAGCTCCGCCTTGGGGGCCAGTCTGAAAACATGTGTACAGCCTACCTTTTACCTCCAGCTGGTAGGATGAAATCCTTCAGGAGTACCGGCAGTGATCCGGTAACTAAAGTACTAATACAACGCATTAAAAATTCTTACAAGTAAAAAACGTACTTAAAGAAAAATGGCCGTTGTGATTGCTGTATTATTATGTGACATTATTAGATTGTTGATGCTGATGCATTAATGTGTAACACAGCATGTTACTGTGACGTAGCTCAAGTGGAGCTAGTTTTAACTACTTCGTATATAGTGAGGTTTAGTCCAGTCATTTCCAACCTGGTTGTCAGGACCCCTCTGAAGGTCACAAGACAAACCTAAGGGCTCCAGAGATGACTAAGGAAAAAAAAACATTCTGCAACACAAAATTGTATTTGTTGAGTTTTGTTCTGGTTTTTTTAGACTTGTTTTCTTTTTGAAATTTTGGACACTTTTACCTCTTTGTTTCAAACTGCCAACAGCCCATGGACAGATGAAACGTGGCAAAGGGTCCAGACCAGACACTTTTTTTTCCTTTCTTTTTAGACGCCAAAAATGGTAGGGAACTTTGGTTTATTCTCAAAGAATTGATATTATCATATGTTTTTAATAAAAATCTTAAACTGCAAAGTGAATATTTAAGTGACAAATAAATGCAGCAGAGCAAAAAGTACCTCAAAATTGCACGAAAGTACAGTAATATTTGTATACTTCTCCTCAACAAAGCAACAGTATCCAACAGCTTACTCTATGATGGGACCTTGTGGACTTTGCACACTCAACTTGACGTTTAGAAGTCAGATTGCATCTTGTGTTTTTTGCAGCGTTGTGATGAATGTAATGGCTGGTTTCCTTACATTCCTGCCAATAAATGTTGCTGAAGCTAAAGGGAATTTGGTCAAACAAATGGCTACATGTAGCCCCAGCTGCATGGAAATGAAGACTCCATTAAAGGCGCATTTACTCTCAGTTATACTCAGTGTCTGAATACACAGAGGACTGTAACTGTAATAAATCCCATTAATAGGCCTACACTTAAACAGCACCTGTCCAACTGACGATCAAAGCTGATTTTTCCCGGATCTGATTCATCTGACTTCACCCTACATCATTTATGTATTTGGTAACGCTGAGTTATTTTAGTTTAGTTTAAAAGCAGACCCACAGTCCGGGATTTCCACCGCAGATGAGCGTAATGACCGTGAGCTGAGTGAAATTACAGTGTCCGAGCCTCTGCTCTGCCAGAATCACAAGTTTGGAGAAGGACGATGTTTGTTGTAATTGTCCCTCGTGTGGGACCACAGGCGGTGGCCTCAGTGTGTGTGTGTGTGTGTTGTGGCTGCTTATTATGTTGGCGACAAATCAGGTTGATCTCGACTAGGTTTCCAGAAAGAGTCTTATCGCTTCAGCTTCACGTTGAGCCAAAGAAGAAGAAAGGAAAAGAAAAAGAAATAGCCTAATAAAAAACAACGTGATGTCTTTTGGAAATTGGATTGTGTGGATCACTGTCTAAGTGTGTGTTTAATAAAAAATAATTTGGATAATAAGGTCTGCGGCCTTTCAACAGCAGCTTATGAAGGTAATTTGGTCTGATCCGCCTTATTTTGCTTTTGGCAAGCGAGAAGAATTTTATTTTGGAAAGCCGCTGGGTTTCATGAGCCAACCTGCCATCGTGATTTTTTTTATGAAATCATGCGCAGCATGGGTGAATAGTTACTTTTAAATAAATATCTTTATAGTCTATTTTTCACACATGATGGCAAAAATATATAGGTGAGGCCTATATTTTATTTAATTTTACTAGAGAAATGACTAAAGTCAGATATCAGAAGCTAAAATGTGCATACATAGGCTACCTATTTATTTTTTGAATCAAGTGAATTCAAGTGAGGCCTCAAGGTATTTTTCTCCACATAGGGTGAAATGACTGATTATTGTAATTTATCATAGTAACAAATAGTCACTAACATTTTAGCAGCTACCAGCCCTCATTTTATTGCCCTGCTGGTTTGGGTTGTTTATTTATTTATCTTTTTATTTATTTAGTCAGTCAGTCAGTTACTTAATCTTTATAAACTGGCGGCCTTGCATTGTAATTAGGCAATTATTCACCTCATGAAAGAAATCGGTGCAGGTAGATTTTTTTTTTGTCCAGTATTTCATACTGGCGGAATTATATTTTAATTGTTAAAGTGGCTCTTCGCTCAAGACGTCTTTAAAAAGTGGTCATGAAGGCCTTTTGTCCGCAGAAACCCGAGAGGAGCCGGTCCACCGCCGGAGCTGTTTGTGATTTGTGTGACACGACGAAGCGCAGCAGCCAATGAGCGCGCTGTGTGCGCCAAGTAGAGGCAGAGAATGGTGTGTGCAGACGCACAGTGCGCTCTGAGGAGGAGGAAAACACTCCACTTCTCTCCGCTGCCAAGCGCCTCTTCACAACACGGGAGCAAACACGCACCGGACTGGATGTTTTGGACGGAGGGAAGAAGGAAAATAACCCACTCAGAAGGATTTTAAATAATTTTGTGGCCCTTTTATTCCAGGGTTCCTGTTTTATCGTCGAGTGGCGTCTTGGCCTGGCATGCGTCCTGTCCGCCTCAATGTTATTAAACACTTGAGCGTCACGTTTATGGAGCTTTCAGCGGGGATGTAGCAGAGGACAAACCCACTTCAACAAGCTTAACACTTTTCATTCAACAGGAATAGAGTGACACTGATAGAAGGTAAATTACATTTTGAAAGACTGCTGCTGGTTTATGGAAACTGAAACACTTCTCTGAAAGACGACTGCCTGTTTTAACATTGATGGTGGGTTGCCTTATGATGACCCCCGTCTGGAGGTCATAGCTGACGCTTCTCACTTCCCACCTCATCACTGCCCCTCACCCCAATGATGACTATGAGCTCTATATCGGACACTTTAGTCCCGCCTGATCCGTCCAAATCGGCGTTTTTGGAGTTCGGCGGCCACGGTTACCCCGGACACCAGCAGTCCTCCCCCGGCCTGTCCCACAACCATTACCCGGTTCACGGTCTGCACGCCGTCGGGCCCTCACAGCACGACGGGCCCTTCTCCTCCGGTGCGTCCTCATACGGTCGCCCGCTGGGATACCCGCCCTATCACAGCCCCGTGAGCGCGCACCACCCCGGGGCCTACCTGCCCTATCAGCACGGGGGTCACGGCGGCGCGCTGGGACACACCAGACTGGAGGATGCGGGTAGGTTCACACAGAACATTTGAATAGAAAAATGCAATATTCATGTTGTTTCTCAGCGTCCACAGTTTGCCCTTTTTACCAAACTCTTTTAACTCCTAAATATTTAGGCTACCATGTGGAATCTTAGCACATGGGACCAACAAGGCATTGAACGAATTTTCAGGTGGTGTTGCGTTGAAAGATATCAAGAAGGCCTAAAGTAAACAAAGAATTAAACCCCTAACCCACCATGCTAAAAATATATATATATAGCCTCATTTTTATTAATAATTCTGTCTTTTTGAATAAAGAGCCCGTCAAAATGATTGTACCGCCACAGGGTCACAGAGGACTGTAGCAATAAATCTCAGACAAAAAATGTTAGTCTTTACAGATGTCTTCTTTAGGCCCATTAAAATACTTGGAGTTGGTCTATAGTCTAAAAAACATGAAAATAAACCACAGTAGAGCACAATAATTGGATCCACACACAGGCCGGCCACAGCGTCGTGTTCAGTGTACTTTAGGGTTGGACGGGGGATGAGTTTAAGGCCTGCACAGACTGTGTGACTCTCCACAAGAAGCAGCCGACACCGGCCCTGTGGTGTCCCGCAGCGGCCCGGGACCTGCACGCTCTCAAAGCCAAACCCTCAGCCCATCATCTCCCAAATCACATCCACCCGTGCGCTCCCTCAATCCAGGCATGTGGTAACAATAATAATAATAATAATAATAATAATAATAATAATAATAATAATGTGTTAAGCAAAATTAATTGTTGAATTTAATTTAAGCAAAAAAAAGTAACAAAAATATTTCCTGTGTTATACATTTAAACTGCCTTTCAAAATAAAATAACCCAAGAATCATTTGGCCTCCGATTAATGAAAACAAAATACATTGTCATATTTAAAACCTTTACTAACAAGGTCCATTGCAAGGAAAATGGATAACTTTAGCAGATTCACTGCAGGCAACTTTAAATATGCCTGGAGACGGTATAAGTAAAAGGTAGCAATGCTTTGATGCAATGTGCCAATGGATACATCACATTCCCCTGTCCAATATAATGATGATATGATGACAGGTTATTGCCAGAATTTGTGGCAAGAGCAGAAATCCAGATTACATTGACAAAATCTACAATAAAAGATGGTAAATTGATGTGATTCAGTCGTTTTATAAGATCCTTCATTGCTCAGATATTTGAAGCGCAAACTGCAGACTGAAGTGGCTGTTTGTCAACCATCATATATGTCACATTAATTGTTAACAGATGTAGATTCTGATCATATAGCAAACTACTACTACAGTAATAATAATCTTCTATACACCTTGAATTTAACAAGGAGGCCTACTTGACACCAGGCAAACAAATATTTCTTTCTTTCTTCTTCTACCGCACACAAACAAATTAGTTTTTTTCAGCACAAACTCGGCTATAAGTCTGACATCTCCTTTTGTAAATTTACCACAAATCTGCAAGGAGCTCAAAATACAAGATAAATTACAATGGCATCTACAACAATGTATAAATCTTTAGTGATAATCACTCAATGTATTATTATAGAACAGTTCATGGTTGTACAAATATTGTTTCACTATTATTACACACAAGTACATCAGATTTTTTGTACGAATTAAAACGATAAAGCAGTCTCTTAGCAGTTATTTTATCCCAACTCTATTATTATTATTAATAATATTATTATTATTTTAAAGCTTAACTGAATTAAAATTTCCTGTTTTTGTTTTCATGGTCAACACACAAAAATGACACATTACTTCTGTAAGCTTTAAAACAGTTAAATACAATGGATTTCCCTATTTTCTGTATCTGTGACTGGACTTTATATGCAGGACTACCACTCCCAGTTCCCAAATAAGACTAAATAAATTTCACTTTTTGAAGTTTTATAACAGTTTCTTCATATGAGGTCAAACAGGGAATTAAAGCTCTAGGTAACATCACATTGTAGGATAACATCATGTACATTTGTTTGTCTGCAGATTACTTTTTGGGAAATAAAATGAACAGCCTATATATTTGTTCACACGTAGCCCATATAACATATAAAAATGAAATGTTTCCTCATTTGGGTGGACTCATAATACCTTGTTCCTGTATTTTGTCAGCTTCATCAGATGTGCAAGCCCAGTTTGCAGAAAAGGGAAAGGTTTAACACTTCAGTACACTTCTACATATTTAGAAAAAATGCTTTAACTTTATAATTATTATTGCAATTATTACACGCAGAGCATTGTGTGGGGGCCCTAAACAATACAGTAAAGCTAATGTCAACAAAACACAAGTGCCCTTTGCCTTTTTCTTCTCCAGTGTTGTGCGGCGCTGTCCCTCCCGGCTGCAGGAGCTGCAGCTCCGTAACAGAATCTGAGCATCTTGTGGGGCCTTGGCTTGCCCACAGCTGTTCTCTCCTGCCACTACAGGCTTTAAGCTCATGTCATAACAAAGATCAGCGTGGGCGAATATACACAGTTGTATAGTTTTGTAAATGAAAAATAAGGCCTCTCGGCAGAGCTGCATGTACACCAAACTGCTTTTTGAGGACAAAGAGGATTTATCTTTTTACCTATTTAAAGCATTCACATCATACTATATTTGACAATACTAAATTTTGCTTTGAGCTCACAGCGGTCTGGACTTCTTTTGTTATTTTGGACAATTATTTTGCATCACAGAAAATCAAGTTACAAATGGAATCGCCTTATATTTGGCAACCCGTTGTGTTTGTGGTTAAATGTTAGATGGTTAAGGCACTGTTACATTTCTCTAATGATAAAATGGTTGAGCCCATATATGATCTGTACACACTGGACAAAAATGTTTTTATTTTAACACATTTCCCTTGAAATAATGCTGAATGTGTTGCTGTTTACTCTTACCAACTTTCATCACACTCTAATAGAGGCCATGTGGAAATTGTATAAAAACAAACATGCCCTGAATTTCTGTTTTATCCACACTAAATACTTATAAAAAGCTTAAATATGTGCTAGAAATGACAAAACGTGCTATCTTATGATCTTTTGTAGGACGCCGTCTGTAACACTAAGGCCAAACGTTTGTCCCCATCAAAATCCCTGTGTTGATATTTATCTTGGGAACATTCCGCTCTCCTCTAGAACACGAGAAGCCCACGGAGGTGATACACAACGGGGAGGTGAGGCTGAACGGAAAGGGGAAGAAGATCAGGAAGCCTCGGACCATTTACTCCAGCCTGCAGCTCCAGGCGCTCAACCAGCGCTTCCAGCAAACCCAGTACCTCGCCTTGCCCGAGAGGGCCGACCTGGCAGCCAAACTGGGCCTGACGCAGACCCAGGTACTGTGGTGGATAACACACACACAGAAATAGACACAAAATAAGCTAACGTGGGCTGAGTCTACTCTGTCAGAATCAATACACTCTCCATCAGTAACTTACTTTAGCCTTTTTGAAATTTGAAGATCACACATGGAAGTAAGCACAAACGGACTGAACAAAAAGAAATGCGTTATACTAATATGAGAAATTAAACAAAAATCATATCTGTGATGGTAGGAGTTGGAAACATTTCTACGATGTGGGTAATTGGCCAATACTGTGAGCCTAAGCAATCACTGTAACACGCATGGCCACAACATTAATTAATATTGATAAAAGATACGGACCTACATGTAATTTAAAATAACATGGAAAATACACAAAAAAGTGAAGTCAGATTTATTCTAGAATCTGAATCTATCATGGCGTTGACTCTTTCAGTGGAATTGTGAACTGTGTAATTAAAGAGTTCCTCGGTTCACAGTGAAAGGGCAACCAGGCCAGTATAAAAGCCCAAACAGGCACTCGTACATTCTTGTTAATGGTGTCACCCTACTTTACTGTATGTGTAATTACATAGTGGCATGTGCAGATACACTTAAATAGCATGTGAGAGTAAGCCATTGATTGTTTGTTATGAGAAAACAATACAAAGAACATGAAACCCATGACAACAAAACAAGATAAACACGGGGAAGACTTGGTTTGCCACTGGTCATCTTTCCCTTACTTTTTATTTGTCTGTTTTCACACACACGTGCAGTTACAGGCAAATAAAAGCCTAATGGCGGCCATTTTGTGAACCTATATTGGATGCTGTGGTCGTTGAACAAGTGATGATTTTCAGCCTCTTGTTTCACCAGTTAGAACATCTAAAAATCATATTTAAATTTATATTAGTCTTTGGAATTTTCCTATAAATGAATGTCTAATTTGCAACACTCCATTGATATTAGACAATAGTGACTGAGCCTTTATCCAGCAGTAGAAGCTCTGATATTTGCTGTTCTAAAGATCCACAGTGGGAACAGTGCTGAGTGCACTGAGGAAACAGCGTCAGAGGTCACTTTCTTTAAAGTACGATATATTGTGAAATTTATTTTAGTTAATGGCCAAAGCTGTCCTATTGTTGTTGTGCCTATCCATTTATTTGATTTATTCAGTAGTTCATGAGCTGTGGTACTTTACAAAGGTAAGTGGGAAATTAAATACAGAAGAAAAAAATCACTTCAATTCAATGAACATAGTTTAGGAATTTTACATCTTTGTATTGTACTGTCCATCTACTGATGCAGTAATATTTAGCCTGTATCTAAATCAATATGATCAATTAATTCATATGCATAAATACACTACTGAGATAGTTACCTTTAGCTGCAGTTTAGCTGGTGTTTTTCTTCATCAGGACTGGATTCAGCCACTGCCTCATTTAGTTAAATGGCATTAAAATCTGAATTACCAATTCAATTACATATATCAAAAAAAGGTCAATCTAGTTTCAGCTTTAGCTAGGCTAGTCGTGGCTATCTCAACAGCTAGCTTTCATTTGACATAGCCTAGCTCTCTTTCTTTAGCGGCTTGGCTTGATTTTTAGCTCTGTTTAGTATAGGCTACAGAACCTATAAACAGCTGTTATCACAGAAATTATTAATTTCTATGACAATATAATTTTCCTATAGTAACACAAATGTCAAAAAGTCCGATTCAGGTCTTAACTCAATTTTGACCAAACATGTAAGCTAGTTACTGCATTGTAGCTGTGTAGGGTTATGTAGTCATTATTTAAATCAACAGCACATTCATTCTATGACAATAACTATTTTATTAAGAACTATTTAAGAAACGTTTTTGACTCTGTTGCACTCTTACGCATACATATTCTAAATGTATACTCTGTTCAAATTGGCTTACCGTGTCACTTCTTTAGAGCACTAATCGTCCTGGTCGTGATAATAATCATTGTTCTTCTTCATGAAGAGATAGCAGGATAGGACTAGCGGAACATGTAGCAGCATCTTTGTGCCAGGAAAAGAATGATTTTATGACAAACGGAGGCTTATTCTTAAAAGCCATTCAGTGCTTTATCAAAGACACATTACACACGTTGAAAAGGTGAAAAATGGCGGTTGGAGTATTGAGCAGGTGTCCCATTGGGGAAACGTGAGACAGGATTGTTTGGGAATTCATTTGAAATATGATACAAGCATGCTTGTGTGTGTGTGTGTGTGTGTGTGTGTGTGTGTGTGTGTGTGTGTGTGTGTGTGTGTGCGTGTGTGTGTGTGTGTGTGTGTGTGTGTGTGCGCATGTGTCTGTAGTGAGTATACATAAGCAGCTGATGTCATCAGACGAACTGTCCTAATCCCGTATGAATTAACCACTACAGCTATGTTTACACTGTAAGAGTAAGACATGATCCTTTGCCTTTTGTAGTGGCAAAGTGTTTTCCAGTGTGGTCTGCTGCAAGTCATACTCACATGCATGATTACCAAAGGAGTACATTGTTTTCTCAACCTTACTCTCTGTTTTCTTTGAGGTGTTTTAGATCAGAGAAAGTGGGCTTTGACTGATTGTATTACAGTCTTTACAGTGTGTCCGAGTTCGACTGATTGCTAGATTGCAATTTAAGGATATTTCTGGCTGTAGTTTGAGCAATGCAGACACATTTTTGTGGGCTTGGGATAAAGAATGTTGGTGCTTTTTTTAAACCGGGCGATTCTTTTCTGGGAATGCTTGCCCTGTTTTACGTTTACCTTTTCAAAGACAAGGCAAAAAGTCAATGTCAGTATGAGACCTCTTTAGTTGGTGCAACGTTACAATGGCGAATTCCCACATTCCACATTGGAATCGCCCCCATGTAAGGTTGCAAAAGAGACTCAGGCAGCCACTGCTCCCAGCAAAGAAACAGTCCAGCACATAACCCTTGGTAAAAACACAAGCTGTTTCTTTTACACCATGACTTGTGTATTAAACAAATAAGATCTAACTGTTAATTAGTGAGATTTTGAACTGCTGGAGAACTTCTACTGTTAATTGATACATTGATGTATTAAGAAAAACTGGAATTCACATTTCAAGATGGCGGGCCATTCATTGCTATGAAAGTTCCTCAAGGTATTTCAAGCTTCCGGGTTTTTTGCGCAGGCAGAGCATGTGGACTACAGTCTGTCTTTGGATGAGTCAGTTTAGAGCATGCGTGTTAGAGACTTCCTCTGGCTGAGCTGGCCGACTTCCTGTTGCCTCCCCACACACATAATTGCTTTTGTAGGATCTCCAAACTTCATGGGACTGAAAGGATCTGACTATGCAGAGAGTTATTTAGGATTTTTTCTGACAATACATTTCTAACTATTTCCGTTTGGGAAAAAGCCTTTTTTGGTAAGTGTAGCAACTAGCCTACGCCAGTATTGCCACAAAGCCCAGCGCTGTTTCTGGGGGCTTGGTAAGGATGGATGTGTAGAACAGACAGTTTGAGTTGTAATTCTTGTATTTTCTCTTCCAAATAAAGCCAGACGTTTGTTCTGTGCGCTCATGTCTGTTGGACCGTTGGATAATGTTAGCAGTGGTGCTAACTGTACTTTTTTGTTAAATTTACGATAGTCACGATTTGCAGATATTGTAAAAAAAAGTAATTTTAGAAACGTTGACATTGAACGTTAAAAGATTTTGTCATAATTCAGAGTTTTGCTGAATCATCCAATGATCAGCCAATGTTTTGTCTGGTGCTGGAGTTGGTGTATTAAGCTACAAGAGTTTACTGTAGTCTGTATTCAGTTTGTAAATAATCTTTTTGCACACAATCAATTAACATGCAAACGTTTATTAGTTTTTCTCAGGAACAATTATAATTCTCAGTTTAGCTGTTTATTTAATGCTGAATCCAGACCAAGTGCAGTAGACTTTAGAATTATTGTTGCCAATATGGACATTTGTGGGGAAAACAAGTACAGTCCATTAAACATATAACACGCTGTTGTGTTTGGCAGACTGGTTTTCTCTCCTAAGGTGGTGACATAGTAAATAGATGGAGGCACAGAACAACCTGTATTGAAACACACAGTCATGTTGATTTCAGTCAGCTGTAATTATCCTAGTGTGCCCACGTAAATGTACAAGCACATACACTATGTACTGTGGACCTACACACATTCCGCACATGCAGGGGTGCATTTTAGTCCCCACAGACAGACACACACCCAGCTACTCAAACATGTAGCTTGTGTGTTCCTTTTCATACACATACAGATGGAAACATAAACACACACACACTTGAAGATAGTGATCATACACCACATCTCTATCCTGCCTTCATGCCATTAGGCTGGCAGCCAACCACTGACTACTTTCCATCTAAATCTCTAATGTTCCCAGACGCAGCTGAGAAATGGCACGTAGCATGGGTCTAGCATTTTTCTTTAAAGCTCACAAACACACACACAAAAAAACACACACACACACTGCCAGACAGCTTAAACCAGCCACCAAATGGAAGCCTTTTATTTCTGAAAATCCTCGCAAGACACAACTGATCAATTATTTTACCCAGTATTCAAGAATATGCACACACGCTGCAAAGTTTGGTTTAAGATGTCCTGTTCACACACACACACACACACACACACACACAATGACACACTCAGTGGCACCTGGCCTGCCTCTCAACCACCCTCCGTCGCTAATGTCGGTGTCATTAGTCGTGCTCTCAGGGAAGCTGTCAGCTCCATGTTGCTGCTGGAATATGAAACCAACAATTACAGCAGAAAACCTCTCACTGAGGCTGCATTAACTTAACGTGCTGTTGATTGACTCCTGGGCTCATAAGCTGCGCTCCACATACTCACTTTAGCTTTTTATCCGTGAGCTACCACAACCACTCCAGGTAATCATTATACTGCAGGCACTGCAGTTTGGTGGTTGTCATTTTTATTACATTAGTCTATAGATTATTCAAAAGAGTGACCTACAGTTTGGTACTGTAAGGACAGCTAAGTTTTTCAGATTTCAGATACATTTTTCTTTTTTTGATGTGAGTAGAATTTACAGAAATTGGAAATCTTGGAAGTTGAAAGTGCAGCTACAAGTCTGAATAACATCATTATGTGGTGTAATTATGATGGTATTGCATATTTATGGAGTGCTAGTTTAATTTTATGTATTTGCCCCCATCCATACTAACTTCTAACAGGCTGCGATTGACGTCAGCAGATACACTGGAACAATAGAGATCAAATTAAATGTCAAGTTGCGCTCTGCATGACTTCTTGGCTGTTTAAGCTGAAATTTGGGTGTGAAAGCTGGGTGCCTTAATGATTATCGGGTAAAGGGATCATTTTTTCCATGTATTTAGAATAAATTAGACCAGTCTGAAATTAGATTTTTTTTTATGGAATCTCAAAAATCTTCCATGAACCACTTCAACCATCTTCATAAATACTCATAAAATCCCAGGGTAATAATTCCCAGGACTGTCAGTGGGGAGGAGAAAACAATTTTAGCGCCAAGAGTGTTTTCTCTTCTTTTCGTTGCTCTTTTATCTTTCTCTCCTCTGTTGCCGTCCAGAGCTTTTTCGCCGTGCAGCACCAGTCCTTGGGGCGTTCATTTCTCCTTAACAGCGCAGTTAAAACCTGTTTGAGACAAAAGTATCCTTCACTAACTGTGTGTAATTATTTATGATTCATTTGTTCCCACTAAGCTGACAGGTTGCCCGTGAGGCATATTCATGTAATTTGACGCTCAATTTGAAAGCGCGCATAAAACAGAGAACACGCCAATTACATCAACAACAACACAACTGAATCATCTTTAACCACAGAAAAATGATTGAAGTGATATTCAGCTCAATATTTTAAGTTATTCTAATGGTATATTGTCTGTCCTGTTTACACAAATACATAATATTCTTATAATGGGGATGCTGGCTATAGTATTTGTATCCTCTTGTAAACCGATAAGGACCATGTGTCTATAAGAATCATATCATCACACCATGCCACTACTACTACAATGGTACATTGACTATTGTAGGCACACCTAATGGAATGGAATTTCTGTCTGTTATTTAGGCTTATGTAGGCTTGTTACTCTTTGACGTTTTAAAATCACTTGTTCATCTGTATGGCTCATTATTACCTAATTGTAGCCTAATTTATTGCATTGTTATCTCTAATGGTAGCCTATTCCTATAAGGTGTTGTCTGTGTTTGGTGTACAATAGTGAGTGTTGTACGACCTCATCATAATTTGTGGTATTTTTAATAATTATAATATTAATTTAGGTTGTTGTCACTCATTATCTTGCTACAACATCCTTGTAATAGTGTTTCATTTCATTTTTGATGTTGTTTCACAGAAGCTGAATGCACTTGTCCACAGAAGTACATCTCACTTGCTGGGTTTAAACTGAGAGAAGCAGCTAAGACATTAGACTTAAGAACACATAATGTTAGCCAACATTACTGGCATAGACAAAATGGGATGTTACTGAAGCGCAGTATGTGAATGTATGTGTGATTTTCCGTTGACGAACATTTCATCATAGTTTTTGTTATCAAGGTTTTTATTTTGTTTCAGTCTTGTTTTAAACATGGAAAAATGGCTGCCAACACATGTTTTTCATCATAGTTTCCATTGACTAATTAACACACACTCCTTAGTGCTCATCTAGGGCAAAAAGGAACTCAACAAATCAAAGATAGACCAGCTGCAATACATTCACTGACCCAGGTCAGTAAAAAGGGGGGTTCTGGTTGTCCACGGGTTTGAAACACTGACCATATAATCACAGGGTCTGCAGTTTGAGTCTGGCAGGGGACGAGGATCTTTGTTGCATGATATCTCTCCCCATTTATTTCCTAAGTCTTTATCCACACTATTAAAATTAAGGCAGAAATACTAACAAAAATACAACATTTATGAAGTGCTACATCTGACTTTTATTTCAAGTATTTTTCCCTTTGTCGTGTGGGAAAATACCTAAGGAGGTGCATGCATTGTACATTCGACATCTTGGAGAAGCATGCTGTTGTGTGGATCAACTTTTAATGTATTAACTCTTTCCCTTTCCTTGTCTTTCAGGTGAAAATATGGTTCCAAAACAAGCGATCCAAATACAAGAAGATCATGAAGAACGGGCCATGCGGACCTGAGGGAGACCACCTCGCCCCCCCACCGCCATCCTCCTCTTCTCCGTGTTCCCTTTGGGACATTAGCATGGCCGCCAAAGGCGCGCCGGTGCACTCTGGAGGATACATGAACAATTTCGCTCACTGGTACCCCGGACACCAGCAGGACTCCATGCCGAGGACTCAGATGATGTGACAGACAGGAGGACACAACACTTCCAGGACAAACTATGGATTTATACCAGCAAGCTGACTGGAGGTGTTAGGGGCATGGACATTGTTAAGAGCTTGAGCCACTCTGGAGGCAAAAATAATATAACTGGCAGAGATTAAGTACAGTAGATATTGAGGCTATGTGATAAAATAGGTCATCAGGACTATGAAGGTCAAGAACCATTGAACCATTGCAACAGCATTATAAATACCATTATAAATAATAGCATTATAGAGCAGTAATAGTAAGACTGCAAATGAACTTCCAACTAGCTGTCTGCTTATGTTTGCCACAAATCTTGCAAGTAATGTACTGTATGCAAAAAGATGTCTGGCACATTGTGATTAGACATCAACCAAATGGCTCAGATCTCAGTGAATGATTAGCGAGATATGGATAGCGCTAAATATGACAGTGGCTCAACTCTGAGGATTGAATGTTCAAATCTGAATTCTGAACTGAGTGTGTGGTGCCACACAAAGCCTAGCACTTGGCAGCAAAGTAAAATATAATATGACCTAGTAACAAAAGTTTGCATAGTTAGCATAGCAGACATTCAAATTAGCTAAGCTAGTCTACAGACGTGTAAGGTTAGTTAACCAGCATGTTTTGCTGTGTCCTTCCACAAAGGAAGGACACAAATTGCTGTTCAATTTGCCAGTTAGCTAATTTAAAATTGCTTATATTTGACTCCAACTATGAAGAAAAGAGTTAATGTATGTTTAAAGAGAGACTGCACTACTTTTGCTTAACAAAAGCCTTGGTCACAAGTCATAATTACAGGATAATGAGAAATACAAAAATGTAGCTTTACAACAGTAGATTAGAGTATTAAAGACAACAAACAGACTCAGTAATGTCCTTTACACTGCAAGATCTACTGAGTTTGTTTGCATTAGCTAACATTTTCCACCATAAGCCATTGGTCATCCCTGACTACGTAGCAACCTCCCCTGAGCGTACTGAATGGAGCAAGGGTTTGTTTCTTCCTACAAAAGTGAACACAGAACACAAAAGTGATCACTTTAATACAGCCAGTCAAGTTATTACTGCCTCCAGAGGAGCTCTGCTTGCCAAGACATTTAGATAAAGCTACAACGAAAGCTACAACTCAAAACTAATGCCGGTGCTGCATCTTTGTTTCTGGACATTTCAGGTTTTTTTCTGTCTTCTGTCAGTGGGTCAAGGTAGGGCAGTTTTTTTTTTTAAAAGGGTTCTTCAGGGCTTCTTCATAGTTGTTCATTATGGAACTCAAAAACAGATCAAATTAAAGAAAATATTCTTTTCATTCTGACCATTGTGTGTATTTTATAATTTCTGACAGGGTGTAACACTATAAAGGTTCTGTGTAGCATATAGACCTTTAAAGAGTCATTTTGAAAAGCTGTACCAACAGGGGCTCTGATGTGAACAAGCAGCCATTTAATTTTATGGTCCCCTTTTTTAAGAGTATTTGGGTAATAGGCACTGAATGGACACTGCTTCTTCATTGTATGTGTTACAATTTCATATATATTTTTTCATTATAATAAAAAACCTAGTTAAAAGATCAATCCAGAAAATGTATTTGAAAGCCATGTATAAAACTACTTACACCAGGTCATTCGAGACTAGTGTGCTGATTTTGTCATTGACTAAATTGAAATAATTGGGCCTATCACTCCAGCTACTTATTGTTCAGTATCGCCCCACTTTGCTATGCAAGGGTTTAATTAATTGTGGTTCTACACTTCTGACAACAATTCATTTTATTTTATTTTTCTTCTCCAATGGATTTTTAGTGATGGTTTCTGTCAGTTCATATGTTTCATCCCAACACTACTCTTTTGTTTTGCTCCCCTCTTGTGACCTCCTGAAGTGGGTAACTCCTCGTGAACTTAATTTTCATGACTCCTGGACTTTACAGTCATATATAAACCCGAAATCTGTTTACTGGAACTTATTCAACAACCTCTTAACAGGCTGAAATCATATTCTGCCAATAAGATATTGGCTATGGGTGGGGATACACTATGTTATTTGAAATAAATCAAACCTAGTGATCGTTGTCACCCTATTTGATTTTGTTTATTTAACTTACGTCATGTTTTTGCACCTTTAACAGATAATATCTAATTGAGGCTTCAGTAATGTATTGCTAAAATAACATATTCCTTCTCTCTGTGTACCCCAAAGGCCTGGAGCCATTTTCTCTAAAGTTGTAAATCAGAAGAAGCAGGTCACATCTTTCGCCCCGCACACATCTGGAAAAGCGAAAAGAGTCGTCAAACATCGTCAATGATTTTATAAAATGACCACGTCAATTATAGGTAATTTAGGACACAGCTTGTTAAATAAAGCTTTCACTCTGACGCTGTAATTATCTGTAATTGTCAGTCAAGGGAATATCCCGCCTCAGGGCCTAAAGGAAAAGGCTAGGAAGTAGTGGATTACATCAAACTGGATTACTGAGGGCTAATCCTTTCACAACAAATTGATATGTGTAATGAATATTACAAAAATGCATTCATACATTACTGTATTATGCTACTTTTGGTTAGGTTGTTTTTTTCAGGGGTTTATTTTCAATACTCCTGATGTAACAGAGCAGGAATTTTCTTTTTTCGAGGACAAAAAAGGAAAGTAGTTAGAATATGGAATAATCCAGCTGTCAGGTCAAGAATATAAAAAAGCACTGGCTAAACGACCTTCAGGTGCAGTTAATATGAGAACAAAAGGCCATGGCGAATGTGTGTGCATTTTTGTCTGTGTGATTAAAAAAATTGGGGTTTTTTTCCTGGCAGAGAGAGGCATTGTTGCACTGCCACGCTATGGGTTGAAATGTCTGTTGCACTTATGCATGACCACACCCAGAAGTGTGAAGTCAAATAGCCCTATAGTGTCAGGCTCTACATCACAGCGGAAACATTACAATCATCTCAGGGTGCTTCATGTTTAGCTGGCAAAAGGAAGACGAAAAGATGGGGCTAATAAAAAAATAATGATCTGTGTAGGTGGTCTGTATGCTAGCTTATAGGCTCTAGCTCTGTCTGGGCTAAACATAACCTTAGAGTGCTCTCTAAATGTTTCCCGCAATCAATAGTCAGTCCTGGGCAGTGGTGGAAGAAGTACTCAGATCCTTTACCTATAGTGGGGAGAACAAGTATTTGATACACTGCTGATTTTGCAGGTTTTCCTACTTACAAAGCATGTTGAGGTCTGTAATTTTTATCATAGGTACACTTCAACTGTGAGAGACGGAATCTAAAACAAAAAATCCAGAAAATCACATTGTATGATTTTTAAATAATTAATTTGCATTTCATTGCATGACATAAGTATTTGATCACCTACCAACCAGTAAGAATTCCGGCTCTCACAGAACTGTTAGTTCTCCTTTAAGAAGCCCTCCTGTTCTCTACTCCACTCACCTGTATTAACTGCACCTGTTTGAACTCGTTACCTGTATAAAAGACACCTGTTCACACACTCAATCAAACAGACTCCAACCTCCCCACAATGGCCAAGACCAGAGAGCTGTGTAAGGACATCAGGGATAATATTGTAGACCTGGACAAGGCTGGGATGGGCTACAGGACAATAGGCAAGCAGCTTGGTGAGAAGGCAACAACTGTTGGCGCAATTATTAGAAAATGGAAGAAGTTAAAGATGACGGTCAATCTCCCTCCGTCTGGGGCTCCATGCAAGATCTCACCTCTTGGGGCATCAATGATCATGAGGAAGGTGATGGATCAGCCCAGAACTACATGGCAGGACCTGGTCAATGACCTGAAGAGAGCTGGGACCACAGTCTCAAAGAAAACCATTAGTAACACACTACGCTGTCATGGATTAAAATCCTGCAGTGCACGCAAGGTCCCCCTGCTCAAGCCAACGCATGTCCAGGCCCGTCTGAAGTTTGCCAATGACCATCTGGATGATCCAGAAGAGGAATGGAAGGATGTCATGTGGTCTGATGAGACAAAAATAGAGTTTGGAGGAAGAAGAAGGATGGGGGACAACCCCAAGAACACCATCCCAACCGTGAAGCATGGAGGTGGAAACGTCATTCTTTGGGGATGCTTTTCTGCAAAGGGGACAGGACGACTGCACCATATTGAGGGGATGATGGATGAGGCCATGTATCGCGAGATCTTGGTCAACAACTTCCTTCCGTCCGTAAGAGCATTGAAGATGGGTCGTGGCTGGGTCTTCCAGCATGACAACGACCCGAAACACACAGCTAGGGCAACTAAGGAGTGGCTCCGTAAGAAGCATCTCAAGGTCCTGGAGTGGCCTAACCAGTCTCCAGACCTGAACCCAATAGAAAATCTTTTGAGGGAGTTGAAAGTCCATATTGCTCAGTGACAGCCCCGAAACCTGAAGGATCTGGAGAAGGTCTGAATGGAGGAGTGGGCCGAAATCCCTCTACCGGACCAGACCTCTACAAGCTTTGTAAGTAGGAAAACCTGCAAACTCAGCAGTGTATCAAATACTTGTTCTCCCCACTGTATAAGTAAAAGTACTAATACCACAATGTAAAAAGAGTGGAGGTTTAATTGTTATTAAATATTTTAGCTGAAGAAGATAGAGCATTTTCTCAGGAAGGGTATGACAATTTGTAATCTGAAAAGTAACTAGTAAAAAGTACAATATTTGGTTGTGAGGTGTAGCGGAGTAGAAGTATACCGTTGCTTAAAATGGAAATACTCAAGTAAAGCAAACGTACTTTTTTCATTGTTTATATATTTTTACATTTCATGACACTACAGGTCCTGGAGCTGACTACATCTGTAGCATAAGCATCCTTCAGCATCTGTTTACAGGAAGCATTAACAGGGAGCAGTGACCCTCCATCCTCCGCAGTCAACACCATCTCACCATCTTACACCTGCATACACAGTATGTGAGCACATTGACCGCTGGATATGATGTAAATTTCCTCATATTGAAGATGAAGAAATGTTTTAGAGACTTGTATGAAATACATGAAAGTAACCCATCTGCAATAGTACTAGTCTCATGTATGTAGTTTCAGTAGTTTTAATCATGCTGTATTATTCTTAATCACTAGTGAGTTTTATTTTCAACTGACACCCTTTACTCTGCAAGCAGCCAATCATGTGACATGTGACACGTGACACGTGACACGTTACTACTGTATTACCACGAGGGTGGTCACGGCAAATGATACTTCAAATGCACCAGTTGAGTATCAAGCTGATCATTTTGTGTGACTAGTTTCCAGTTAACTGGGATGATTTACAAATAACTTATGACATTGAATCAAACTTATTTGAAATTAAGTGATTACCTAAAATCAAGTGTATATGATGCGAGCACCTTTTATCCATTTTATTGAAAAAATCACAAATTTAATGCTAAATCAGGTGCAACTCTTCCAATAGGAGTCAGACACTTCTTGATGAATTTATGGCTATGTTTTGCATAGTTCTGTAGCATGTATATGTAGGAAACACTTTGTTTTAATCCCCCATGCATTAACACATAAGCACTACATACAAACAATGAATGGTTTAATAACACACTATAGTTTAGTTGTAACAACTATTGCTGTTGTGTAAACAGTCAATAAATGCTTGATAACACAGAATAACGTAAAAAAAAAATGCCATCGGTAATTTTAAACAGGTATATAAATAGTTACAAACCTGCTACAATGTGTGCAAACATTTATTAAATGCTTTACAGGGCAATGTAAAATTGTTATAAGCCAATGTATTATAATTAACAATTGTTATTATTGTAGACATTTTTTTAAGTATTAAATCTAGATAATCACATTCAAGAACAATTCAAACTGTAATCAAGCATGTGTATCCAGTTGTTGGTGGATATTCAAACTCCTCCAAGTATACATTACTTTCCAGGAGTGTACTTTTGGACATTATTAACACAACAAAGTCAGTTTGTTTTTCTGCTGAGCAGTGTTCTGTATATTTACAACCAGGACCTGGAGAAGCAGGGTAACTGAGTTATCTGGTTAACTTTACTGAGTAACACCTGAAACCTCTAAAAAAAAGCCTGTTAGTTATACAGATAACTGATTTATGATCAATTATCATTAATATTATTATTATTATTATTACAGATGTGTTTAAAACAACTGAAAACATATAACTCTTATGATTACTGTATTATACTGTGTCAAGCATTCCCTATAGGTTTACACACCAGCTGTGAATGCCTTGGAGAATGAGTTGTTAACAAAGACATTACTTAACACTTAAAAATGTCCTTATGTCTCTTTATATAGTGCCTATAAATGCAGAATGGGGTTGAGGTCGGGGTTAAGGTGTCATTGGTGCCTGAACGCAAAGTGGCTTCATGTTGAGAAGAGAACAGTGGTGCACTTTATACACCGCTGGGAAACTTTCTTCCTCTTCCTTTTAAATCTAGTGGAGACAGTTGACTGCATTCTTTTCAAAGAGAAACACATGTTGGGGAACCTGAACATTTTGCCACGATATCAGTGGACCATGCAAATAGAAATGACATCACTGGCTAACCCTCGTTCTTTGAGGAAATACAATATATGTGTTGGAAGAATTGATCGTTTACGGACTAATTATGTTACATAGGCGTATTGAAAAGACTGAG